TTAAAATAAACATAAAGAAAAAATCTAATGCGTCCAACACATGACTTTCCTTTCTAGTTATAACAGACGTTTTCCTGTTATTTTCTGCAACCTATTGTATCACCTCTGTAAATGTAGAGGATAAACTAAATATATACTCGAAACATTTTTTATATGTATTCATTGTCAATGAAAATACTGAAAAATTTAAATTTTACACTTACAAATTAGATGTTACTTTTATTTGAATAATATTCTTCTCCAAACGTAAATAACAGATATATTCCATAAAAGATAAAAATGACCCCCTATAAAGTTCTAACTCTGGCCAAATTCTAATCAGTTCACCACAGGCCGGAATAAAGCTTAAGTGTAAAATTTGATGTTTTTCTCTGTATCCGTTCTTTAGTTATCGAGTATACAGACGCATATCTGTGTGTGTGTGTTGATGTTTTCATGATTCCTATACTTTCCTTATCTGTAGATAGGAAAGTAAAAATGGAACATCGAAAAAAAAAAAATTACGTTACTAGTATTACAATAGTATTTGAAACATTTACACGAACCTCTATGCTATACAAAATACATGAGTACAATAATTTGAACACGAAAAACTGATATTGTTAAATGTGCGAGAAAGGTGTATTCTGCTACATTTTTAAAAATTTCTTTGACTGAATGAAGAGTATGAGACTGCACTAGTTTTCTTTAGGTTGTTTACGGAACAAAATCACCGGTATCACTAAAAAATTTTTAATCTTGAATCCCGTATTATAACTTAACATCATTGTACTTACATTTTGGATACTTATTAAAATGAAATTAACTAAGAAAATTAATCACAGCCTTTGGGGTCTATTCTGTAAGAATTCCTTTATATTTAACGGCCTTTAAAAATATTTTCTTCTTTACTTCTGTCATTATTTAAACGGATCTTTAAAATACATTAGAGGACTATCTTAAAGAAATCTGTTTAAATAATGACAGAAGTAAATTAACGAATACAAACATATTTTTAAAGGCCGTTAAATATAAAGGAATTGTTACAGAATAGACCCCTTTAAGCATTAAAATATTTAAATATAAAGAACAATTTTCAACATAGAGATATAACCATTCATTGATAATATATAATATTCACGATGCCAAGATTAATTCGACAATCGATACACTCTATTTGTAGGGACGGAGCGAGGCGACGAAAGGTGAGAAGAGAAGGGATAAAGAGAAGAATTTTACGCAGATACAACTTATTTTTATCAATGAATAAATGTGTAAGCCGCCGTGCGCTTATAATAAACACCGTAAATATCCATGCCGGTGTAAGCCCTGTTGCCACTTCCAACCTAACATCACTAGGTTTTGGAATTTATTACATCTAATTAAGTGAAATTACATCTAATTTAGTTAAATTTAATATAACTAATGATTCAAAATTTGGGTTCAGTTGCAATAAAATAGATTGAATTATTTTAGCTTTTTTAATATATGTAAAAATTTTGTACACAAAACGAGAATAATGAAATAGGCATATGACGAAAGCGGATATTATACCCGCATGTGTCCCTTAGAATATGTCTTATTCAGGACCGCACGATATTTGTTAGTAGTTACATCTCGTTATCTCTGATTGATCTGGAACCTGGGGATATGAGATGTAAGTGCAAAGTGGGATCGGTCCCTCACTATTGTGAGTGCAATTTGTCAATTTTATAGCTTATCTTTCTAGTGCCATTTTTGTAACTCAATTTTTTATTTATGTTTGAACGATTTTAGAGTGTTAAAAACTTTATAAAAGTGCGTAATGCCTAGATTTATAATTCGTTACTGCACTAGCAAAGGGTCGTTTGATCTGAAACTCGATCGAACGAGCGTCGAGGAGACCGAGAAGTGAAGACGTCACAATAGAGCACAATAATCAAATAAAACAGTAAAAAAACAACCTCACTCTTTTGTGATTCTAGTTTCTGTTTTGTGTGAACAAACAGTGAAGAAAATGGAACACTTAATAATAAGGGGCAATAGCCTTGAAATGATATACCACAAATACCCGCTTCGCTTTCAAACTCCATGACTGTGATTAGATCTGAGCAGAGAAAATGTTTGTTCCAAACACATTTTATTTTTTATAATAAATAATGTTAGCTAAAAGACAAAAGCGGCTTAGTAATTTGTTTACTTCTTGTCTGGTCTTGAATTTTGAGATTCAAGTTTGTAGGTTAATTAAAGCGAGAGAGGTAGAGATAAATACAAATTTCTCCCTCTCCTCGATAATTCGGCTTTGAGAACATCGAGCTCGTTCTATGTTCTCGCTCTAAAGAGACACAAACCCTTTTGGGATCTCTCAGAGTGTCAATTCAAACACGTTTTTTTAAGACCGACCAGAAAGTATACACTTTCTGAACAATTTTTAGTCCAGAAAGTAACGTTTTGCTGATCAAGAGCGGAAAGTTGACGTTAGGGACCGGTAAAAGCTTTTTTCTACGATCACTATCAAGTAGGCTTTTGCACATTCAAATCTAACTGGAAAGTTGACGTTTTCCATGAATTGTCATAGTTTGACATTGCCGCCCGCATATAGGCGGAAAGTTACTTTTTGCACACCCTATTTTCATTAGAAAGGTTGTTATTATAAAGCTAATTGGTATTTTAAAAGAAAATGTAGACTAATCTGAATCTTTTAGTTGAACATTTAATACTTAAACATATTTTCCTTAATATTTAAATGATAGTTAAATTATTAAAAATAAATTACCTATCATGTTTTTAACACTCATATTTAACATGTCTTGTTGGTGGAGAGCCTAGCGCGTTTGTCTTTGAATCTGATGGTCGTGAGTTCAATCCTCACCAGTTATTTTTTTTTAAATTTGATTTTTTTTGTTTGCAAAATTAAATAAAATTTAAAACAGTGTATAAGCCATTAATTTGCGATTTGAGTATTCTAACCGACGATCTTTGAAGTTATTTTAAGGATGTACTTACAAATATTTTTTATGCGTATCATAAAATTAAGTAAGCAGGCAACATAATATACACATAACATACTTTTCGTTTGCTTGTCAAGTTAGCCGTGTGTGTCAAATTAACACAGTAAGATTCTAATTCGGCAAAATAAAACTATATAGGTACTTTTAATATCGTGTGATCGTAGAAAAAATCTTGTGTGTAATTGGAACGGAAAGCTATTTGCGGCTTACGATAAAATGCCGCACTCCGCCGCTCGTCGCGCGGCAACTTTTTATCTTAAGCGGCAAAGTAGCACTTTCCGCTATTAAAACACAAATATAACCATACCGGTTCCTATTTTTCATTTTTTTGAACGCTGTTTGATAATACAGTCTGCCTTGATTTCGTTACTATGGTAACAATAACGTTCAGATTTATTGCCAAGTGACAGTTCGTTGATTTTTAATTTATTGTTTTCCCAAATTTGAAAACATGGTCTTATAACTTAATAGTAATTTCTGTTACAAGATCGGAAAGTAGTGATTTGCAGGTCGAGACAAGCAGATCCTGCATAACACTAATTTTCGGTCGCGTGACGTACAATATTTTTTTTAAGACCGACACTTCCATGCAAACTATATTTTTATTTTATTTAATAAAGTGATTAACAAATACTAAAACTAGTTAATGGATACAACTGCATAAACTAGCCAAATACATTATGTTTGAATATTTATGTTAAATTTTTGCTGCTTACAAAATTTCTTCTGGAATTTCATTTTATGTGTCAGATAATTCAAAATCTGAATCCATATTTTTAAATTTGCCAAAACAAGTTTGACATAAACAACAAATTAAAAATCAACGAACTGTCACTTGGCAATAAATCGGAACCATAGTAACGAAATCAAGGCAGACTGTATTATCAAATAGCGATCGGAAAAACGAAAAACAGGGACCGGTAAAACTTTTACCGGTCCTAACGTCTTCTTTCTGGTCTTGATCGGCAAAACGGTATTTTCTGGACGAAAAATGGTTCAGAAACTGTATATTATTTTCTGGTCGGTCTTAAAGAATTTACTATTACAGCGCCTCTGAGATCTCCGATGATCAAATCAAACGCACCACAATACTTGTCTAAGTAAATAATTTACTGGAATAACCTTTCATCGGTTAGTATAAAAATTATAAATATTGTACAGGACAGTATTATGGCAAGGCTGTATAAAATGTGTAAAAGTATGCTTTAAAAATACAAAAAATATCCATTAAATTCTAAGTCGACCTAGATTGAAATAATTCTTTTTCATACGAAACAATATTAAAAGATTTTCAAAAAAATTCTGAATATCGAAAAATAAGGTTACAATTTGTATACAGGCATAACCGGGAACATTACCAATTCAGCGTCATATATATGTTCTAAGAATTTTCTTTATGACCTTTGCTCGATTGAGAGACGTTCATTTGAATAGTTTTGTAAATAATGATTAATATTTAGCCTGTATAAAAAATGACGAGATTTTAGATATATTTACTATTCAGTTAAGAATTAAAAAGTTTTGAAGAGAATACATATAGGTATACAAATATATTTTCTTGCAGGTTATATCTTTTCGAAAATATTCAATTAATTTTTTTAGAAAAATCTATTAATTTATTATTTCTGAAGAGCTTGTGTTATTTGCTGTGTCGACTGATATAGATATGCTTGATGGTGACATATTTGACTTACATGTGAGGAAAACCCCACCCACCATCAACCAAACTGCAACCCATTGCGATTGTAATCTGGATGAAGTATTGATAAAAATTAAATTGCTAATAAAACGGTACCCATCAATTTATACATCAAACTATGGAAAATAATTAAAAATTGACATGGTTTGCTTACGATCCGAAGCAGTAATTAAATACACAACTGCTCGACACATTAGGCTATCACGTCAATAATAAGTGGATTAGTGCAATGTACTCATTGCCTTTTTTAAGAAAGGGTTTTATAAAATAAATACTAGTTCTTTTAAAAATATTTTATTAAAAACATTATAACATTAATATTTACAAATTAATAGCCATTTGCTTATATTTTAGTTACTAATATAGTCGGAAAAAGATACCTAAAACGATACTTTCACTATTTAGATAAACAAAACTACAATTTAGATACTATATTCTAAGATGACGATGGAACCTATAAGATCTTATAACGAATAACTAAAACATTGCAAAAAATAAAATATGTCTGAAAAACAAGAGATTGTTCGTCTGTAAACATGTTTATTAATTTTCGTTGGTTATCGATCAAGATGTTTGTTGTGTACATCATTCTCTTGATCTAAATACGTGTTAGATAGGTAATTAGATATATTTTTTAAATTTTTTTTTCCAAAAATTAATTACTTTCGTCGCCGTAGCTTTTAATTCTACTTAGTCTTGTGGATGAAATTCTTTGATCGCTCTCAGACGGTAAAGACGGCGTATCTAATTCCCTATTTAAAACGCCAGCAGAACTTTGAAGTTGGGGACCATTTTTATTGATAAAATCAATGTTTAAAGGAGGCAATTCTCCCCTGAACCGACCAAATTGTGGTCTAGCCGTGATATAAGCCGACGCTTTAGATAGTCTTTGAGTAATAACAGAAGGCCTATCATTTAACTTGGCTGTCAAACTTTGCCCGGACAATTTTTTACCGTCATATGTTATAACAATATCTGGAGGTGTTCCAAGCATTGGGTTGGATTCTGGTAGATCTAAATCAATATCTGATGGTTGTCTGACCACTTCAACAGGTTTAGCATTTGTAGGAGGTAGGTAGTAACTTTCAGATCTTTCATTAGCCTCGGCAATAGGTTCGTCAGGGTCTTCTTCGTCCTGTATTACAGCACGTGGTCTTTTTACAATTATTTTCATGTATTCATAACCCTTCTTCTTTGGAACAACCCGTTTGGTAACTTTAATTGGTTTTTGTTTCGAAGGTTTAAAAGTGGGAGACGGTATAAACATAGGCTCAAATACTTGAATGGGCTTAGTTTCAAAATTGTCGGTGCCGTTAACTTGTATTACTCCTTTTTCACTTTCATATTCAACTACAGGTTCATTATCCACCCGTTCTTCGAATTCTTTCGTTATTATTGGTTTGAATCCGCTCTCAATTTTGATTGAACCAGGCTTGAAGCCCGTGTTGAAAGCTGGCCAACGAAAATTTGGAGTTATATCTGCAAAAGAAGTGCTAGGAGCGGTTTGTATTTCAGGTTCTTTTTCTGTTGACGCTTGTTGAGGGGATATCTCTATATTTTTTACTTGTTCTATCCTAGGCTTTTCGGTATATGTATTAATTTGACTTTCTATGGGAGATTTAGTTATAAGAGGAGTAGATTGGATAAGTACATACGGAGATGCGTTAGGGTACATTTTTTGCTTGTATGGTCTATGGTTTGGGATTCTAATTAATGACTTCTTGTATGATTTTGCTGGCAAGCCATAGTATCTAAGTCCTACAGGATTTTGATGAATAACTTTTCCTGGAACAGGTACATAGTTAATAGGCCTTCTATAAATAATATTTTGATACTGAACAGGAGGAGGCATTAAATAAGTTTGATTAAAATTATCACTAGCAACAGCTATATTATCATTAAGTTTTGTAATTGTGATAGGTTTTTCAGTAGTAGAAGTGGTGGTAGTAGTAGTTGAAGTAGAGGTAGTGCTGGTGAAAGAGTATTGAATATCGGGCCTAATTTTTGTAGTCTCGTATCCAGTGTTCAAAAGAGTGCTGGGTCTAAAATAGTGCAAGTTTGGTTGTGTCTGCCGCAGGTTGAAGGAGTAGAGTGCAGGTCCGTTTCTCACATGGTGAATAGGTATGAAACTTTGTGTGGATTGTGACAGGTTTAAATTTGGTAACTGCTCATTTGGCTGGTCTTCTACTTTCTCTGAAATTATTGATTTAGTATCTTTATCTTCATTGTCTTCTTTAAGTATATTATTTTGTTTTACCCTTGTTTCGACGCTCACTGAGGGAGACTCTTCGAGGTCCACGTCGGATTTGTTAAGGATGTTTTTGGGTGCTGGGACAATGGCTGGATGGAGTTCACTAGCTGCTGGGAGGCGGTCGCATGAGTCGTGCACGTGGATTTTCCATCCCAAGAAACGGTGGGTGAAGCACTAAAACAGAAATTTAATAAAGTAGTAGAATTTGAGTTTAAATATGTTTAAAAGTTGAAAATTAAACTCGGCCACTAAACCAAATAAACCAAATAAACAAAATATTTGACAAATCTGATTTTTCTAAAATGAAAAATAGTATCAAAATATTTCAGTGAATTAGCGCAATTGTCAATAGCTTTCTTACGGTTCACGACAAAACTGTCAATTATTTCGCGTATGAAATAAAATTAATAAAAAAATACCTGGTAGTAGACAGTGTCAGGAGTATTTCTGTCTGGTGTCCACTCAACAATTCCAGGTTCATTTTGATCACATTTGAGTTCCAGAACACGTTGATAGGCCCCGAAGGAAGCATAATCGTCGGCATCCAGATCTCCTGTTTGAGTCCAGGTGCACAGTCTGCCAGTGCCTGTAGGAATTATATTGCCTTCCTTGTCTTTGCGAACCCCAGCATATATTTTGATATTCTAAAACAGTATAGGTAAACATTTTCATGGAGGGTGGAAAATATTTAAAAAATGGTATAATGTAAAACTTTAAACTCGAAATTTGGGCATCAAACATAAAATTTTGACTTTTAACTCGACTTTGAAGTCAAAATTGTTTTAAAAGAGTATTTGAATCGTTTATTTCAGAAACAACCTAAGTCACTTTTTAAGAATTTTCAGGAGGTAAAAAATAATGTTTTGAACTAGGACCAGGACTAAGTTGTTTTAGAAATAAACTAAAATTTTAAATTGTCTTATAACTAAGGATGTTTACGGAAGTTGGGTTTTTTCTGCATTAAACCTGTGATACTCTGAAACTACAGTGTTAATGTGATAAACCCAATATGGACAAAAAGTGATTTAGGTTGTTTCTGAAATAAACGATTCATTTAAAGATCAGCCTGGCCGATATGTTCAAAAGGTTAAGTTATTTTTTTAGAAAACGAAAAATTTTAAATTTTTACTTACTAAAAGAGTCATTTTTCTTAATTTCTCAACGTTAATCGTACAATAAATATTTTTCCAAATATAGTTAAGTCTATCCGTTGCTGTAGAACTAACTCACATTATAACATGTATAAAACATTTCAGAACAATTTTTGGGGGAAAGTATTGTAAAACTGCTAGTGTGATGTTTTCCGAACTTCACTTTGTAACCTCTATGAGATGTGCTATGAAAGTCTTGCCTTTGCGGACATTCGGCGGATGCATGGATGTTAGGATTACATTAAAAGTACATTGCATGAGAGCTTAAAGAGCCTAATTTTTCAGTTTAAATAATGTGTGGCCATTCTACGGCTTTGTACATTTCTAGGTATTGAATTATTTTGAAAATACCGGTTGTTCGTTTTAAAGTTTTGGTAAGCTATAGTTTACCTTTCGTTCTTCTGCAGTTTTGTAAGCAAAACCTCCAACAGGGTCGTCCGTAATGTAGAAGGGATGATATTTTGCTGAAATATCCGGTTCATCGCCTCCTTCCACTACAAAGTTGTATTTTTTGCCTCTTACCACGTGTATTTCAGGAATGAGCAGACCGTTGATGTACCATGAGATACCCCAACCCACGTGACCTAAATAGCAAACACTTTCATATCAGTACTTTAAATTGTAAAATGAAATATACATATTGGAATTGATAAACAATATTAGCCTATCTCGAACGTTATCTGAAGGCTAAGACAGAACATACACGCTTCCATAAACATTTAAATAATTCAAATCTAATTATAAGTTGCAGTGCAGAAGTTAGTATATGTTATTGAGCTTTAACGAAACTGAGAAAAAATTATTTTCAGTTGTACTATGCTTAACAAAAATATCTATAAAGAATTACCAGTTATCGCTGGATATCCCCTTTTCCCACCGGTGGGGCCCAATTGGGCATAGAAAACCCCATCTTCAGGTTCGTTACACTCGATTGGTGGTATGACCCAAGCGTCAGACCTTTTACTGGTTTGGTTACGTCTTTGGTTAACTTCAGGTGTCCTGGAAGACTGGGTACCTCTTCTTCTAGAAGGCTGTGCCTGTTCTTTGGTTCTAGAAGGAAGGGGTGCGGAATCTTCTGAACTTTCTTGTGATGTTGGTCTTGGTGTACCTCTGCTAGGTCCACGTCTTCTAACTAAAAATAATTATTGTATAGTTAAAAAAAAAACTAATTTAAAAAAATATATTTATGAATATACCATTAGTTCTTTTTGGAGCACTGGTAGTGGGTTCATCGTAATACTCTTCTTCAGAGGATGTCAGTGCTGGAGTTGTTCTCACATTGGTTGCTGCATATACAGCTGTCATGGAAGGTTGCTCGATCTCGGGCATTGGACAATTCCATTTAGCTGGGCGTGCAAAATCGATGAAATGATTCTTTTTAAGATATCTGTTAAAACAGTTTTCGATTGTATTTACCATAATGGAAAATATTTTATTGGGATTAGAACTTGGCGAGAACAATTATTTGTCTATTTCAAATAAATTATTAAAAAGTATTTGAGCAAACATTGATACATTTTGTAGTCCTCTTTCTAAGGAATGAAGTGCATGACAAAATACATAGCAATGGGTGACCTTACCTGCTGTGGAACGATACTTCATTTCTCTGGTTAAGTGGACCAATGGCCCAAATGATAGCTTGAGAATTGTTGGTGAGAATAGAACGATCGAATTGGTCTGATGCTTTCAGAGGTCGTTGATATGTTACAATGGAATATCCGTTTACCATAGCTGCGTTGAGGAGTCTGATATTATTGGAGTTTTCCTGTAAAATGATTTTCTTAAGAAACTATATTGATTGTGTATGACTACATAGTGCAGATTTTAGGATCTTTAATATGTTACTATACATATAAGGACCATCAATGTTGTTGGTCCACGTGGATCTTTGTAGCCCATATTATGCAGTGAATTTAAACGTTCAATGAAATAATAATTTTGGAATTTCTTTTTGAATTACATAGTTATACCTACTACAAAACTTAAATGAAATGTAAATAATATAGTAACTCTGTGAGACATAATGTGAACATTAAAGAAATTATTTATTAAGAATTAACGAATGAATGAAACAAATTGTTTGCAATAATTAATAATAAGCAATTTCTAAGTGAACAATTTGTTTTAAGACAGTAAATTTGATGTGATATGAATTTTAATTTTATGGTAAATTGAAATTAGCTTTATTTATTTTCTGTTCTAATTCTGGACCAATTTTAGTGAAGACGGTGTTTAATTCATCTGTAGTTTTATTTTCCGTAACTATTGGATATAGGTTTAACTGTTTATTATGCACCAAAGAATTTAATATTTCCCAATAGTTATATAGGTATATTTAAAATTAATTGTTCCTAGCAACATAGCCAAGAAACATAACCTTACATTTTCGAATTTTTTTATATTTTTAGATTACTCTAGATTAGATAAAACTGCATGCTCGATAGTCATGACTGTATAAATGATCAATAACGTACATCGGTTTATGTATTAAAAAGCCTTTATAATATGATTTTCTTTTTAGCATTATGCTGAAAGATACTAAAAAAATCTTACTGATAGTTTATTGTCTGGACAAGAGCCAGCGGGTCCAGAACATTGGCTTTTATCATCCAAATAGTAATCCTCTGCATATCCTTTGAGGGTCTGCTTGTCTACCCAGGCTACAACAACGTCACCTCCTATCATGACAGTTCTTGAATCATCCCCGGAAAGTCCAAATGACATGTATTCTTTGTTGTCTGTCAAAATATAAACAAAACATTTACATTAATAATATTAATAAAAAAAAAAAAAAATAGAAAAAGCATATAATATGGTTATTTTTTTTGTTCTACTGGAAAAAATATGATATTTAGATACGTAAAATATGCTATTTTTAACTGTTAAAATAGTAGTTTGTGCAACAAGAGTGGATATGGACAATCTATTTAAAGTATATTTTTTCTATGGCTTACCAAAGAAAATCTACAAATTTAAAAAAATATTTTAGCTCATTAAGACAAAATAACTAATTTTAAAATAATTTATGACTTACTAATTTATAAAATAAAATAAACATTTTAACTTAATTAGTCTCCAGCCCAGATTTGAACCCGCGCCTCTCCCATAGCAGCCAAACGCCTTGGTCTCACCATGGAGACTTTGGACACTTTGTAGACCATTTTAGTTTTAATACTCGTAATTAAATTAGTTTCATATAGTTTGGTTAAAATTTATGATTTATTTGTAAATATAGACGAAATATAGCATTTTCAATTCTACAAAAGACTAACTTATTTTCACGTATATTTATTCTCAATAACTAATAAATATACTGATAATAAGTTTGACAGAATTGTCATTTATAAAATTTAATTGATGGATTTAATTTTTTGCAGTGTTCTTACTAGCTAGAAGGGATATGAAATATATTCGTTCCGTTGAACGCAATGGCATACTGTTTCGTTTTGTAGTCTGTGCGTAGATAAGCTAATATCCATGTGGATGTAGAAAAAATATATTTTTTCACTGTTGAAGAAAAACTTTAACGGTGGACTTTATATCAATGATTTAATGCTTTGTCGTGCAATAATTTGGACTTATATAATATAATATAATAATATAATATTGTAATTTTTATTTATTTAAATAGTTTATTTAGTTTATTTACACTAAAACGTTAATTTATTTTTTCTACACCCACATGGATATTAGCTATTCTACGCACAGACTACAAAACGAAAAAGTGTGCCATTACGTTCAACTAAACGAATATATTTCATATCCATTCTACTTAGTAAGAACACTGCAAAGAAATGAAATTTACCAATTACAATTCATATTTTGCTCACCCGGCTAATATTATTTTTAAAAATTTTAAATAAGTGAAAATTCTGTCAAACTAATTGTCAATATATTTTTTTAGCTATTGATATTAAATATACATTAAAATGAGTTATTCTTGTGTAGAATCGATAAATAATAGCATTTCTATTTTTATTTCGTCTATACAGGGTGTCCCGAAATTAGACGGTCATATTTTAACAGCATATTCTACATTTCAAAATAGGAGTAAAAGTTCATATAAACATAGGTCCGAAAACGTTTCTTTTCCGAGATACAGGGTGTTAAAAGTGAAGTCCTGATAACAGTCTTTTGTAAATATTTCCTAAACTTTTAAAGATAACTAAGTGAAATTTGGTACAAATGCTCTATTTAATGGACAACCAGTTTTTAATCATCTTTATAGGTGGGTAAATTAGGTGGGGCTTAGGCTAAAATTGCCCTAAGTTTTTTTTGATGACAGTTTATAACATTTTTGACTATAAAATTTTAAAAACCAATGTTTTCTTTATAATAAACTACTAATGTTGCATCTCACTAGGACGCACCATTTTCAAGAAAAAAGCATTTGAACATTTCATGATAAGTTGATGTTATCTTATTCGAAAGTGTAAACAATAATTAGTAGGCATGTGAAATCAGAAATTTTATTTTTTTTTTACTTTGGAAAACCGGTGCCTAAAGATATTTTAGGAAATATTTACAAAAATGTGCCATCAGGACTTTACTTGTAACACCCTGTATCTCGAAAACGAAACGTTTTCGGACCTATGTTTATATGAACTTTTATTCCTATTTTAGGATGTAGATTACGCTGTTAAAATATGACCGTCTAATTTCGGGACACCCTGTATTTACAAATAAACCATAAATTTTAATAAAACTGTATGAAATCAATTTAAATACGAGTATTAAAATCAAATTGTTATTTGTAGGAATGGAACACAGACTAGGCTTTGGCTTTCATGCAGAGGTCCCGGATTCAATTCTAGGATTGGAGACTAATTAAATTAAATTCCATTTTTTTTTCAAATTTATTTTATTGTACAAATTAGTAAAAGTCATTAATTATTTTTAAATTAGTTATTTTATCCTAATAAACTAACATAATTTTTAAAATTTTTAGATTTTCGTTAGTGGGTCGTATAAAAAATATACTGTACAATTCGAGTGGATTGTCTGTATCGAAATGAGAATCCTTCATGTGATATGGACATCATATCCACTCTTGTTGCACAAACTACAATTATAACCTAATTTATTTTGACTCAATATTACACCAATTTATATCATATTTACTTATACACTAATTTATATGCACAATATTTGTGTACTCAAAGATCTTTTAACTTAAACTCTTTCCAACGGTAAAACAGTCCGACTTATACCCTTATGTGGCTTTTATGAACATTTTAAACAACAGTCGAGCAACCTCCAGAATATATATAATGAATCCGTCTTCAGAATAATTATAATTCGACTATCTGGTTCTATAGGTGTCTTAGGGGGTTTCAGAGTGTGATCTATTCGATAGAGTATTCTTGGTAACGAAAAAGATAGAGGCCATAAAAGGCCCAAATAAGACAGAGAGGGACTCATGGGATTAGAGTAGGACCGGGCTGGTCGAAAATAATGACAATATTTGAAATTGCAGCGATTGCTACATCTTTCATTTCAGATAGTGTCACTATCCCTTTCAAGGTCGTAATAATTCTTAAACGATTAGAAGCGAGGGTAGCCATATGTGAGTGGTTGGAACAAAGGCATGAGAAATAAAGGACCTTTTTCTTTACACCTTCGTACTCAAACTTTTAAACGAGTCGTTAAATTATCGGACATCGGTAAAACTAAAAAAAATTTTGATAGTTCAAACTTCAAAACGATTAGATACATACAAATTTTGGTGTTTAAAATATTTATATTACGTGGCAAAATCAGTGTTTTACAGCGCATTCTATTAGGTCGAGGCCAAAAATTGACAATCTTATATGCCGTAAAAAAGATCAACTATTATTTTTGTATTATTATGTTTTTTTTTACATATTAGTTACCAGATTCATTCTAATTTTAATCTTATTTTAATCGGTAAGTAAGTGTACAAATGAAGTACCTCTGTGAATATTTAAAGAGCATTTTTTTAAAGCAAACATATTTTAAGTTCTGTACAAACGTTAAAATGTTAATAAATATTTTAAAAATTATTATAATATACGTCATTAGCCAATTGCTATGTTAAGTAATAAAATATTATTTTTTGTTAGTTTATTATGCAATTAATTGAAGTGACATTATAAACTAAGTTATTAAAAGTTGCAAACACCAAAACTAATGGGCCTTGGGTTACTTGGGTAATTTTGCAAAATGGCCGATTTAATTTTAATGATTCGCTGAATCCTATATACGTATTTTATTGTTATATGATATACAAGTATAATTCAAAACATGTCACATGAGTATTCAAATCGGAAGCATTTCGTAAAACCTTGTGAAAATACTCCATTATAGAAATTCCACGTAGTTTTGGTTTTGAATGGGATGTATATTTGTATCGACAAACAATAATATCCTGAAACCCTTTGGCATATTCCCAAATGATCGCACACCGCACTCATTTTTCCTCATGATAAATTAAAACGTGACAGCTCTAATGAACTGTCATAGATAAAACACAAAACACAATCGTTTGTTGAATATGTTTGCATGGCGAATAAATTTTCCAACGTGTTATAGGACATCCGCGAATTTGCAGGAAAAATCCTATTGAATTAAAAAAGTTCAATGGAAATGCCATTGGGAATTCTTTAATCAACGCATTGCTAACGGATATTTTGTGGTCCCTTCGGCTGTGTTAAATAAATACTTTGACTTCAACGGGCTGAAAAAAATTACCGACAGCTTTGTTTCAGGTCATAGAATATGAGTTTGTGTTGTCATCTATTTTTCCTTTTTTTTTTTTACAAAATTCGTAACACTATAGACTAGATATTTTAGTTTCTGACAAAATTGTTGCACTTTAACATTGAACGAATTATACAGTGAGCATCAAGTCTTACCCCCCCTATTTAACTCGATACTGGAGTCTTGTTAGGAAAATCGCCGAGACACGTCGATTTTTCATTTCTACAATGTACATTTTTGTATAAATAGTTTACCCTTAATTTCATCCCTTACTGGAGGGGAGCAACCCTTTCGAAAAATTTAAACGGCATGGGGTGGTGAGTGATAGCTCATTTGAAAGGGGGTTTTATTCTCTATTCAACCGTGCAAAAAATTTTGAAATTTGCTTCATTAATTCTCGACTAATTATTGTTTTAGAATAACGGAAATTAACGTAGCGCACTCATCCTTAGAATTAAAATTTGGCCCTGCATGATATCGGTTTTGGTTCAGACGTGAAGTAAGACTTTTTGCCATTAGATACGGTTGCTGTTAGTTTAGTTGCTTTGCTATTTGTGATGTTTTGTTATTTTTAAACATTAATAAGTCAACATCAATTGTTGTATTATTTTGAGAAACATAACCTTTAAATTGTGACCAGATCAGTTCAATGGGATTTAACTCTGCGTGGTAAGGAAGCAATCTGAGAATTTTAATTCCTATTTTTTTGAGCAATCTCGTCAATAATATATTTTTTAAATTTGGTTTTATGCTACCTTGGTATTACAAGGATTTAGGAGGACTGATAATATTTTTAGAATGAAGTCATTTTGAAATATCTTCTTTTTTACATCTTGTTGTTGTAGATAGTGACTCCTTTAATCGACTGTGATAAAATGCATTATCCAAAACAATAACGGAGTGGGCTGGACTTTTTTTTATAATGATCTGAAACCAATTTTTAAACATAAGACTATCCATTACTTCATGGTAGTTTCTTGTTTTATTTGATTCGAACATTAATATAGATGTTATAGAT